CCCCTTCATGCATGGCAGCCCCTCATCCAGCTGGTCACCTAGGCCAGAGGCCTGAGTGTGGCCTAGAGTCTCCAGGCACTGAGCTCTTCCTACCACCCCTGTACCGCCCTCCAGCTCTGCCCCTTACTCCCTTTCCTACCTCCTCCGCTGGTGAATCCTTGCCCATCCTCTGCAATCTCCAAGGACTCCTCCACAGTAGTCTCATCACCTCAGGCCATGAAAGTGGCAGCAATGAGGTTGAGAAGACCTGGCCAAACCATGCAGGGCAGGGCCAGTCCCAGCCTGATGTCAGGCCCCTGGCTGCCAAGGTGGCCGCTCTTCACCAACCGTCCCCTGTGCCACAGGTTCTTTCTGATGTGCTACCTGTTCGTAAACCTGGCCTGTGCAGTGCAGACACTCCTGAGGACCCCCAACTGGCGGCCCCGGTTCAAGTACTATCACTGGTGAGCCACGCCTCTGACACGGGAGGCCCTGGGGAGGCCAGGAGCTTCATTCTGGATGAGGCCTGGGCTTCCCGGGTAGGTAGATCTTGATGAAACACTGTGGGGAGGGAGATTATGGGGCTGGGGAGGAACTGGACCTGGGTCTCCCACCCAGTGACCTGACCACCCACCTGGGACCTCTCACCTGGGACCTCCCACCTGGGACCTGACAGGGCCGCCAGGACATGGGCCAGGCTGTGGCCGGGGGCCCTCCTGGTCCTGCCCTGACTCTGCCCTCCCCTCTGGCCCAGGGCACTGTCCTTCCTGGGCATGAGCCTCTGCCTGGCCCTTATGTTTGTCTCCTCCTGGTACTATGCCCTGGTGGCCATGCTCATCGCCGGCATGATCTACAAATACATCGAGTACCAAGGGTGAGTGAGCGCTGCCACCTGGCCTCTGCCGGCAGCCTGCACCGCCCTGAGGGGGCCCAGCCGAACAGGCAGGGTGGTCTGACGTTGGGGTGGGCGGGGAGCTGGGCCACCATGGGTGCCAAGACTGGGGACTGTAACTCAGGACCCGGGGTGGTCTTGAGGGGCAGAACCCCTCCATCTCGCATCCACATAGACAGAACCCCCTGGGCAGCACCAGGGGCTCACCAGCTGTGGTGGAATCTGCAGGGCTGAGAAGGAGTGGGGTGATGGGATCCGAGGCCTGTCCCTGAGTGCTGCCCGCTACGCGCTGTTGCGGCTGGAGGAGGGGCCTCCTCATACCAAGAACTGGCGGTGAGTTCCCACCAGACCCTGGCCAGGGCGCAGAGGTTCTCAGGGGTCGCTGTCGGGGTCAGAGGGTCGAGAGGTGTCAGCTCCCTGTCCTCGGGCTGCCAGGGGCACCCTCCTGGGCCATGCTACCCAAACCCGCAGGGACCATCACCCAAGAAGAGAAGAAGAGGAGGGGCTCCCTGGAACGGCCGGCCCTGGTCTCAGGCTCCCCCACCTGGCCACTGCAGGCCACAGCTGCTGGTGCTGCTGAAGCTGGACGAGGACCTGCACGTGAAGTACCCACGGCTCCTCACCTTCGCCTCCCAGCTCAAGGCTGGCAAGGGCTTGACCATTGTTGGTTCTGTCATCCAGGGGAGCTTCTTGGAGAGCTATGGCGAGGCCCAGGCCGCCGAGCAGGTACCTGCTTCAGGGGTGAGAGCTGAGCCAGACTACAGGAGTCTGGGCTGCAGCTGATGGAGGGGAAGGGCCCAATCTTGGCGAGCGTGACCAGCTAGGCAGCCAGCACTGCTGCCACCTGAGAGCTGGCACAAGGGGGGGCCAGCAGTCCCATCTTGAAAACTTGGCCTCCGGGTAGGCAGCTTGTTGCCCCCAGGCCCTCCTCCACCCCAAAGTCGTTTTGTTCCCAAGGGGCCTTGGGAGGGAGCCCAGAGGCGGGAAGCTGATGGCTTCCCGTTGGCCCTGGGTGTGTTCCCCACAGACCATCAAGAACATGATGGAGATTGAGAAGGTGAAGGGTTTCTGCCAGGTGGTGGTGGCCAGCAAGGTGCGGGAGGGGCTGGCCCACCTCATCCAGTCCTGTGGCCTGGGCGGCATGCGGCATAACTCCGTGGTGCTGGGCTGGCCCTACGGCTGGCGACAGAGCGAGGACCCCCGTGCCTGGAAGACCTTCATTGGTGTGTGAGGGCCTGGGGCCTGGGCTGAGCCTGGTGGGCAGGGGTGAAGTGAGGTGGCAGCAGCCGGAGGGCCACAGGCTGGTGGTCAGCCGTGCCCCTTCTCCCCAGACACCGTGCGCTGCACCACGGCTGCCCACCTGGCCCTGCTCGTGCCCAAGAACATCGCCTTCTACCCCAGCAACCACGAGCGCTACCTGGAGGGCCACATAGACGTGTGGTGGATCGTGCACGACGGCGGCATGCTTATGCTTCTGCCCTTCCTGCTGCGCCAGCATAAGGTGGGCCGGGGGGTGGGTGCAGGTGAGAGGGGCTGGGCCCTCGGAGGAGCGGCTGTGACCAAATGGCCCACCCGGTCCCTTGCCTCAGGTCTGGAGGAAGTGCCGGATGCGCATCTTCACAGTGGCCCAGATGGATGATAATAGCATCCAGATGAAGAAGGACCTGGCCGTCTTCCTGTACCATCTGCGCCTTGAGGCCGAGGTGGAGGTGGTGGAGATGGTGAGCCCCCTGTCCTGCCCTGGCCCCGTGGATACCATGTCCCATGCAGCTGGGTCCTCACGGCCTACCCTCTCCCCAGCATAACAGTGACATCTCTGCATACACCTACGAGCGGACGCTGATGATGGAGCAGCGGTCGCAGATGCTGCGGCAGATGAGACTGACCAAGACTGAGCGGGAGCGAGAAGTCAGTGCCCTTTGTGGTTCAGGCCAGGGCGGGTGGCAGGGTCAGGCCTTTGGAGACCGCGTCGGTGGGTGTGGAGGAATCAGAACGACTCACCGCAGCCCTACCCAAGCCAGTGCTCATTTCCCGGAGGCAGGGTGGTCACATTGGGCCAGACAGGCCCCGTCCCCCTTTTCCTATGGGACCAAGGCTACCTCCTGCGATTGTCCCCAGGCCCAGCTGGTCAAGGATCGGCACTCGGCCCTGCGGCTGGAGAGCCTGTACTCAGACGAGGAAGATGAGTCTGCAGTGGGGGCTGACAAGATCCAGATGACATGGACCAGGGACAAGTACATGACTGAGACCTGGGACCCCAGCCATGCCCCTGACAATTTCCGGGAGCTGGTGCATATTAAGCCGTGAGTGCAGCAAAAACAGACCCAGTGGCGCTGGAATCTAGGGGTGGAGGTGGGGTGGGGCAGACAAGTGGTGTTAGGTGGACCAGGGGTGGGGACCCTCCTTGCAGGATGGCTTATGGTGACCTGTGATTGGCTACACTACGTGTAGGGACCAGTCCAATGTGCGACGCATGCACACCGCTGTGAAGCTCAATGAAGTCATTGTCACGCGCTCCCACGATGCCCGCCTGGTTCTCCTAAACATGCCTGGCCCACCCAAGAACAGCGAGGGCGACGAGAACTGGATCCCTTTGTGGAGGGGCAGCAACTGGGAGGTGGGCAGCGTGGGAGGTCAGGCCAGCAGCTCCTCTCCCGGGCCCCCTGAGTGGGTGTGGCCCAGGTGGCCCTGGTTACCCATTGATTCTGTTGCTGCCTCCTTGACTTGAGGCCCTGCAGACATGGAGTTCCTCGAGGTACTGACCGAGGGCCTTGAGCGGGTGCTGTTGGTGCGCGGTGGTGGCCGTGAAGTCATCACCATCTACTCCTGAGCCCAGTGTCATCTTGTGGCCTGGAGTCGAGGTCTTGGCCAGGATATCACAAGCTGTGGTCTGGGGTAACAGCCTCTTCCCAGCACCCACTTGCCAGCCCTGCTTGCCTGGCCCTGTCCTGGACCCAGCTTTGCTAGGTCTCCTTGGAAACCAGGCCTGGGCCTCAAAATGGAGATGGATCCCAGGTCTTGTGGGACCATGGGAGGTTTGGGGACTTTACTGTCTAGCACCCCAGTAGGCCTGTCCTGGCCAGAGAAGACTGGTTGGGGCCAAGTGGGGTTTGAAGGCAGCTGGCGCAGTCCAGTCCAGGAGCGCTATTTATTACATATTTATTATTTGGATGTCACCATCAGAGATGAAGGGAAGGGTAGCCAGGGAGGGAGTCCAGCCCAGCTGCCTGCAGGAAGATCTGGCTCAGTCAACTATGGGCAGGGCTCCCCACTAAGCTGAGCCGAATAGAGACAGCCGAGCTGAGGCCTGACTTTTTCAATAAAACATTGTGTACTTCTGGGCCTCCTGCTGCCCCGGCTCTGTTTCCCCTGGCGCCAAGAGAAGAAGGCGGAACTGAACCCAGGCCCAGAGCCGGCTCCCTGAGGCTGTGCCCCTTTCCGGCAATCTCTGGCCACAACCCCCACTGGCCAGGCCGTCCCTCCCACTGGCCCTAGGGCCCCTCCCACTCCCACACCAGATAAGGCCAGCCCAGTGCCGCTTCCTCTGGCAGTAGGCACCAGGGCTGGAATGGGGCCGCCCGGCTCCCCATGGCAGTGGGTGCCGCTGCTGCTGGGGCTGCTGCTCCCTCCTGCCGCCCCCTTCTGGCTCCTCAATGTGCTCTTCCCCCCGCACACCACGCCCAAGGCTGAGCTCAGTAACCACACACGGCCCGTCATCCTCGGTAAGCCCCCACCAGGCCCCTGATGCAAAACGCCAGACCCTGGGGAGCCTGGGTCCCAGCCCCTGGCAGCTGACCCGGCCAAAACCCTTCTGCCCTGCATAAGCCCCGGTGTAAGTACCTGCCTTGGTGTGGGGAGGGGCCAAAAGCTTGTCCCATAGAGGAATGACCTCTCTTCTCCCCGCCGCCCTGCCCCCCGACACTGTGTCTCTCAGTTGCCTACCCCAGGGGGGCGGAGTGGGGGACAGGATGTGCCTGAGGTCTTGGCTGGGGCATCACAAGCTGTGGTCAGCCACAGCCACACCAGACTCTGGGCCAAACCCCACCACTCCTTCCTTGGCCCCCACCCACCAAGGACAAGATGCCCAGCCCAGGACCGGTGAGCAGGAGAGGCCCATCCATGCCCGGCCCCTATTAAGCCCAGCCCCCCTGCCCCTAGACCTATCTGTTCCCACCCTGGACTTTGGCAATAAAGGAGCGCCAGGCTGGGTGTTTGCTCTGCAGAGGCAGGGGTCAGCGGCCTTGGCCTCAGCACCTCAGCACCTTCCCTTCCTCAGGGAGGCCTGGGCTTTGGCTACTGGGGGGACAGCGGGGAGAGGGGGTGTGAGCAGGGGAGGGTAAGTGTGCTTTGTACCTAGGGTTGAGGGTGTGGGAGGTTGGGGGTGGGTCTGGTCACTGCAGCATCTGGGGTGACTGGGGTAAGGGTCACCGGGGGAATCCAGAGTCCAGAGTGAGGGCCGCTGCTCACAGTGCCCGGCTGCCTGGGGAATCAGCTAGAAGCCAAGCTGGACAAACCAGATGTGGTGAACTGGATGTGCTACCGCAAGACAGAGGACTTCTTCACCATCTGGCTGGATCTCAACATGTTCCTACCCCTCGGGGTAGACTGCTGGATCGATAACACCAGGTACAGCCATGTGCTCTGCCCCAGCCCCGACACACTGCCCCTTGGCTATTGGCTGCTGAGTGGCACCCCTGCCCTGCAGGGTTGTCTACAACCGGAGCTCTGGGCTTGTGTCCAACGCCCCTGGTGTCCAGATCCGCGTCCCCGGCTTTGGCAAGACCTACTCTGTGGAGTACCTGGACAGCAGCAAGCTGGCAGGTTTGTGTCAGAGGGCAGGGCTGGGGCTCCAGGCTGGGGTGCTGGCCCACAGCAGGCATGGCCCAGCCCCTGGTGCTGCTGCTCCCCCCACAGGGTACCTGCACACACTGGTGCAGAACCTGGTCAACAATGGCTACGTGCGGGATGAGACTGTGCGCGCCGCCCCCTATGACTGGCGGCTGGAGCCCGGTGAGTGTCTCTACGGATGACCAGCTTGGGGTGGGGCAGGTGCCCCGGACCCCAACTGCCCTGACCCCTTCCACCCACTGCAGGCCAGCAGGAGGAGTACTACCGCAAGCTCGCAGGGCTGGTGGAGGAGATGCACGCTGCCTATGGGAAGCCCGTCTTCCTCATTGGCCACAGCCTTGGCTGTCTACACTTGCTCTATTTCTTGCTGCGCCAGCCCCAGGCCTGGAAGGACCGCTTCATCGATGGCTTCATCTCTCTTGGGGCTCCCTGGGGTGGCTCCATCAAGCCCATGCTGGTCTTGGCCTCAGGTGAGAAGGCCTCGACCACTTAGGCCCAGCGATGGGTGAGACGAAGCTGATCCTGGGCCTGCCTTCATTGTGGCTCCTGCTCACGGTGGCCTCTGGGGGTGCCATCTACCACCCCTGGGCAGGCATGCTCGCTGTCACTGGCCTCCAGAGCAGTGACCCTGGCCTGAGCAATTAGGGTGGCTCCTTCCAGAGTCTGTGTCAGTGATGGCAAAAGGGCGGTGAAAACAGAAAGTGAACCCCAGCTATCTGCCCCCAGGTTTGTTCGTTGTAGCCCCAGAGCCTGCCTACCCAACCCTTGCCTGCCTTCCGCTTGCTCGCAGGAGCGCCTTTGCTGAGGGATGTGCTTTACTGAGGATGGGTCTGCCAGAGCTAGGGCCAGACCCCCCGGAGCCCCGCCTGCCCTTCCCTAGGGAGTGGCACCAGGGCCCAGCACTGACACAGCTACCACCTACTCCCCACCCCCTGTACCGTGGGAGCTGGTCTGGAGAGAGAAACACAGTCTGAACAGAGAAACACTCATCAGACACCACCAAATGCCAAACAGACACCATCTTGTTTCCCCCTTTCTGGAGCACAACTCTGTGACCCCCAATGCAGCACAAGCCACACAAGGAGCAGAGTGACACATGCCCAATGGAAGACAGCCAGCACCGCCCTGACCATCCCCACACATCCCAGGCTTCACCCACCATCCCCACACACCCTGTCCTCAGGAAGCCCCGCCTACATTTTTTTTTTTTTTTTTTTGAGACAGGGTCTCACTCTGTTGCCCAGGCTGGAGTGCAGTGGCACGATCATAGCCACAGCCTCAATCTCCCTGGCCCAAGCAACCCTCCTGCCTTAGCCTCCTGGGTAGCTGAGACTATAGGCACGCACCACCACACCTAATTTATTTTTATTTTTTAGTAGAAACAAAGTCTTGCTATGTTGCCCAGGCTGGTCTCAAACTCCTGAGCTTAAGTGATTTCCTGCCTCAGCCTCCCAAAGTGCTAGGATTACAGGCATGAGCCACTGCGCTGGGCCTTTTACAAAATACTTGTTTATTTATTTTGAGATGGAGTCTCGCTCAGTTTCCCAGGCTGGAATGCAGTAGTGTAATCTCCGCTCACTGCAACCTCCGCCTCCCAGGTTCAAGTGATTCTCTTGCCTCAGCCTCCCTAGTAGCTAGGATCACAGGCATGTGCCACCATGCCTGCCTCGGCCTCCCAAAGTGCTGGGATTACAGGCGTGAGCCAACATACCCAGCCCTATTTATTTTTAGGCTGGGATCTCGTCCTGTCACCCAGGCTACAGTGCAGTGGCATGATCATAGTTACTGTAACCTTAAATTCCTAGGGTCAAGCAATCTTCCTGCCTTTGCCTTTTGAGTAGCTAAGGACTACAGGTGCAATCCAGTATGCCCAGCTGAATTTTTTTTTTTTTTTTTTTTTTTTTTTGTAGAGACAGGGTCTCACTGCATTGCCTAGGCTGGTCTTGGACTCCTGGCCTCAAGTGATCCTCCTGCCTCAGCCTCCCAAAGTGTTGGGATTACAGGAGTGAGCCATGGTGCCTGCCCCTGCCCTTCTTTTGAAGCCCTACAGCTCCACCCAACAGCTTCTCACTGAGTAAGCCGACACTGAGCATCATTGAATATCAGGCCTTCTCAAGCCTGTGGCTTAGAGTCTGTGTCTAGATTGGGCAGGGGCAAGAGTGAGCATTGGGCTGAGCCTACATTCAGCAGGTTGGGGGCCAGGGGTAGCCAGGCCTGGCTCCCTGTCCCACCTTGCTCCCTATCCACAGGCGACAACCAGGGCATCCCCATCATGTCCAGCATCAAGCTGAAAGAGGAGCAGCGCATAACGACCACCTCCCCCTGGATGTTTCCCTCTCGCATGGCTTGGCCTGAGGACCACGTGTTCATTTCCACCCCCAGCTTCAACTACACAGGCCGTGACTTCCAGCGCTTCTTTGCAGACCTGCACTTTGAGGAAGGCTGGTACATGTGGCTGCAGTCACGTGACCTCCTGGCAGGACTCCCAGCGCCTGGCGTGGAAGTATACTGTCTTTATGGCGTGGGCCTGCCCACACCCCGCACCTACATCTACGACCACGGCTTCCCCTACACGGACCCTGTGGATGTGCTCTATGAGGACGGTGACGACACAGTGGCCACGCGCAGTACTGAACTCTGTGGCCTCTGGCAGGGCCGCCAGCCACAGCCCGTGCACCTGCTGCCCCTGCGTGGGATACAGCATCTCAACATGGTCTTCAGCAACCAGACCCTGGAGCACATCAATGCTATCCTGCTGGGTGCCTACCGCCAGGGTCCCCCTGCATCCCCGACTGCCAGCCCAGAGCCCCCGCCTCCTGAATAAAGACCTTCCTTTGCTGCCGTAAGCCCTGACGTGTATGTTGCAGGTTGAAGGGAGGCACTAGAGTCCCACACCAGGTTTCACTCATCACCAGCCACAGGCTCAGTGCTGTGCGGAGTGGGGCAAGATGGGCTCTGCTGAGGCCTGGGACTGAGGTGGGCACCCTAGATGTGCAGCTGTCCACTCTCCTGGTTGAGCTGTTGAGGCAGCGTGCACCAGGCCTGCCTCAGTGCTGGGCGTGGGGACTGGAGCTGGCTGCATCCACCAACCCTGTCAGAGGAGTACAGGGAGGGGATGATTTGAGCTGTCCCTCCCAGCTCCCAAAAGGGCAAGTGGGACAGCCTTTTGAGTGCTGGGTGAATGACAGGGCCACAAGAGTTTAGAAGCCAGGCACAGTGGCTCACGCCGGTAATCTCAGCACTTTGGGAGACCGAGGCAGGCGGATCACCTGATCTCAGGAGTTTGAGACCAGCCTGGCCAACATGGTAGAAACCCCATGTCTACTAAAATACAAAACATTTGCCAGGTGTGGTGGCGCACGCCTGTTGTCCCAGCTACTCTGGAAGCTGAGGCACGAGAATCATTTGAACCTGGGAGGTGGAGGTCACTGTGAGCTGAGATCATGTCATTGCACTCCAGACTGGGCGACAGAGTGTGACTCTCAAAAAAAAAAAGAGACTGGATCTCAAAAAAAAAAAAATTTTAGAATTTGAATCTGGGAATGACAACCATTAATCAGATCATTTCACTAATGAAAGTGTAATTACTAATGAAGCTAAATGCTCTGAGGAAAGCTTAGGGAGCACAAGAGGCTGAGTCTTTTGGGTCAGCAAAGGCCTCCCAGAGGAGGCAGTGCCTATACTGAAGTCAGAGGGACAAGAAGAGTAATGGACCACTGTAAAGACTTGGGTTTGACTTGATTGAGCCCAGGAGTTCGAGACCAGCCTGGGCAATATAGTGAGACCTCATCTCTACAAAAATTTAAAAAATTAGGCCGGGCGTGGTGGCTCACGCCTGTAATCCCAGCACTTTGGGAGGCCAAGGCGGGCAGATCACTTGACGTCAGAAGTTTGAGACCAGCCTGACCAACATGGAGAAACCCCGTCTCTACTAAAAATACAAAATTAGCCAGGCATGGTGGCGCATGCCTGTAATCCCAGCTACTCAGGAGGCTGAGTACTCAGGAGGAGAATCGTTTGAACCTGAGAGGTGGACGTTGCGGTGAGCCGAGATCACGCTATTGCACTCCAGCCTGGGCAACAAGAGCAAAACTCCATCTCAAAAAAAAAAAAAAAATTTAAATTAGTCAGGCGTGGCCACACCTGTAGTCAAATCTTCTAGGGAGGCTGAGGTGGGAGGATTGCTTGAACCTGGGAGGCAGAGGTTGCAGTAAGCCAAGATGGTGCCATGGCACTCCAGCCTGCGCAACAGCAAGACCTTGTGTCAAAAAAAAAAAAAGTAAAATAGGCCAGGCACAACCAACCATGGTGGTTCATGGTTGTAAGCCAAGCACTTTGGGAGGCTGAGGAGGGTGGATCAGCTGAGCTCAGGAGTTCAAGACCAGCCTGGGCAACATGGTGAAACCCCATCTCCATCAAAAAAAAAAAATACAAAAAATTAGCCAGGCATGGTGGTGTGTGCCTGTGATCCCAGCTATTCAGGAGGCTGAGGTGGAAGAGTGCTTGTGCCTGGGAGGCAGAGGTTCCAGTGAAATGAGATCGCACCACTATACTCCAGCTGGGGTAACAGAGTAAGACCCCGTCTCAAAAAAAAAAAAAAAAAAAGTAAACCCTTTGGCAGCTGCGTGCTGCTCTTAGGCTCAAACCTAAGTCTTTTTTTTTTCCCCCTTTTGAGATGGGGTCTGTTGCGCAGGCTGGAGTGCAATGGCATGATCCATACTCACTGCAGCCTCGAACTCCTGGGCTTCCAAAGTGCTGGGATTACAGGTGTGAGCCACCAGGCCCAGATTGCTGAAGGGTTTAAACCAGAGAAAGAGTTGACCAGATTTCCAATTCAGAAAGACCCGCTCTCTGCAGGGTAAGGTGTAGCCTGAGGTAGGGGGCAAGCATTGCAAGGTAATCAGGGAGGCCAGTGCAATGTCCAGGTGGGAAAGGTTGCTAGCTGAGATGAGAAGTGCTAGGAGAAAGATGTGTGCAGACAAGAGGTCACTGGGGAGGTGAAATAACAAGGCTTGGCCATGAGTGGAACCCAGCACCCATGGTGCCCCTCTTGAGAGGGGGAAGATGTCACCTGAGATGGAAGATGGAAAGACCAGGGTCCCTGTGGCTGAGGACTGAGCCTGTGTTTGAGGTTTCGCAGAGGAGTGAAGGCAACAAAAGAGGCAAGAGTTGGAAGAAAGGTGACAAGGAACAAAAGTCAGCCATGCCTGATGCTACTGGGTGGCCAGCAACAATGCAGACTTGGCCAAGGCTCTGAGAGCTTTATTATGCTGGGACTGGAGGTCAGAGTTGAGGCTAGGGTAAGAGCAGGGGGCTCAGATGGAGGGGGAGGAGGACCTGAACAATGTCCAGAAGGGAAGAGATTTGAACCTCTATCCAACAGAGGACCCTGTGAGCAGCACAGAGGGCACAGCAAGGGACATCCCCCGGTTCCCCAAATGCTCAGAGCCACAAGTGAAGCCGAAAGTGAAAGACAAGATGCAGAAAACCGCCACGGGCCTTTGAAGGGTAAAGGCGAAAGTGAAAGCAGGAAGGACAGACGTGGAGCCTAGCAGAGGACTTTTTAGTTCCTCACGGGCCCCACTTGTCTGACCGACTCATCCACCCACGACCCCTAATCCGCTCTGCCTGCCCCAAGATGCTGAAGCCAGCCTTGGAGCCCCGAGGGGGCTTCTCCTTCGAGAACTGCCAAAGGTGAAGCGGGGGCTGGGGAGGGGACGATCACTCCTGAGTCACCTCTGCTTGGTCGTGGCCTTTTTTCCTGGCTGGGGGTGGGGGAGGGTGTGTTGGGCGACTTGAGTTCCAGGCTTACCCCGGAAGATGAGGGAGACGGGGACCAGGTTAGGGGAAGCAACAGGGGTACTGGAAGCAGGGCCGAAACCTGGGCGCTCTCCTCCGTTTCCAGAAATGCATCCTTGGAACGCGTCCTCCCGGGGCTCAAGGTCCCTCATGCACGCAAGACCGGGACAACCATCGCGGGCCTTGTGTTCCAAGTGAGCAGCGGGGAAGGACAGGGGAGCTGGAGGAGAGCCGGGAGTATCGAGCAAGCACTGAGGCTGCGGTCCCTCCCTCTCCTCAGGACGGAGTCATTCTGGGCGCCGACACGCGAGCCACTAACGATTCGGTCGTGGCGGACAAGAGCTGTGAGAAGATCCACTTCATCGCCCCCAAAATCTAGTGAGACTCCCCAGCCCAGTTCCCTCACGCAAAAGAGAACGGCCCCCTCGTTCCCACTCCGGTCCCGGCACGTGCCAGCCCTGCCCACACCGATCCTCCCTTTTCCCTCAGCTGCTGTGGGGCTGGAGTAGCCGCTGACGCCGAGATGACCACAAGGATGGTGGCGTCCAAGATGGAGCTACACGCGCTATCCACGGGCCGAGAGCCCCGCGTGGCCACGGTCACTCGCGTCCTGTGCCAGACGCTCTTCCGGTGCGGGGGCGGGGCTAACAGGATCCCGGGAGGGGTCGTTGCCGGCACGGGCCGATGGAAGGCGGGACGGAAAGGGGGGCGGGGCCGCGACGGGCCAGGTGACCGGAAGAGGACAGCCCAAGAGAAGCTGGGCTATCGGAAAAGGCTATGTCAGTCATCGGGCGCCAGATCACAGGAAGGGGCGGGGATAGTACCTAAGGGCGGAGGCATAGAGGGTCGGGGCCTAGGCCCCCGCTTGTGACCGACCCCGCCCATCCTCGAGCAGGTACCGGGGCCACGTGGGTGCATCGCTGATCGTGGGCGGCGTAGACCTGACTGGACCGCAGCTCTACAGCGTGCATCCCCATGGCTCCTACAGCCGTCTGCCCTTCACAGCCCTGGGTGAGCACTTCTGTCCCTTCTCCTCGAACCCTGCCCCTGTGACCTTGGCCTCACCGTTGTACTCCAAACGGGGTGGCAGCGGTTGACTTCAGATGGTTCTCCTGCCTTCAGGCTCTGGCCAGGGCGAGGCCCTGGCGGTACTAGAAGACCGGTTCCAGCCGAACATGACGGTGAGCGGCCTCTGTCCCCGACTATGTGGTCGCTGGTGGGATGTGCACCCGGGAGCTGGGGGAGCACAGGACCCTGGCCCGGTGTGGAGGTGGGGGAAGGCTTGGAGGAGGTGACCACTGAAGGGTGAGTGGAGTAAGGGCAGAGAAGTGTGGTCCTGGCACAACACCGTCCAATACCAAAGCCTGGACGGTTGGGAGAAGTCGAAGCTCACAGAGGATCTTTTGGAGCCGAGGGCGGAGGGAAGGACCAGTAGGGTCACATTTATATCAACGTCTGGAGCCTACATTTTGTTTGGGATGGGATGGAAGCAGGTGATATTGCCTCAGAGGTGGCTAAGGCTCAGAGGGAGAAACACAGTGGGGGTTTGGGGTGCAAGACCACATTGGGTGAGTGGACAGGCACGTCCCCAGGCTGTAGCCTAAGTTAACAGCAGGGGGCCCGTCAGGCCTCACACACTCATCACCGCAGCTAGAGGCCGCTCAGGGGCTGCTGGTGGAAGCCATCACTGCCGGAATCTTGGGTGACCTGGGCTCCGGGGGCAATGTGGACGCATGTGTGATCACGAAGACTGGCGCCAAGCTGCTGCGGACACTGAGCTCACCCACAGAGCCCGTGAAGAGGTGAGTGCTGGAGATGGGGTACCACAGGGATGTGTGGGGCTGCAGCAGGGGAGATGGAGGGCTGCAAGAAGGGGATGGGTCACATGACAGGCCCATGTTCAGAGGCCGTCCCTCCTCTCTCCCAGGTCTGGCCGCTACCACTTTGTGCCTGGAACCACAGCTGTCCTGACCCAAACCGTGAAGCCACTAACCCTGGAGCTAGTGGAGGAAACTGTGCAGGCTATGGAGGTGGAGTAAAATAGGTTGAGGCTTAGAGCTTGGAACAAGGGGGAATAAACCCAGAAAATACAGTTAAACAGATGGCTGTGTCATTCTTGAGTGGAGTAGGGTGGGCAGGCAGCCAGCAGGGCTCTGTAGCTAAGGCGTCCCTGCAGGGACCATTACTTCCCATAGCTCTAGTGTCTGGCCTAAGAGATGCTCTTCACCCATCACCTCAGGCACCTACAACTCCAGAACCCCAGCCCTGGCCAGCATTGCAGGCTTGATCTCCATCCAAACCTTCCTTCTGACTCCACACCTTGGAGGCTCCCCCATCACTCCACTGCCTTGCTCTTGCCCTCTAGTCCACTGGAGACTTGTAAAACACAAAAGACCCCATGACCCCTCCTAGGGACTTTCCATGGCTCCTCAGTGGCCCAGGACAAAGCTCATACCTTTCAGTAAGGCCTCACTGAGGGCTAAAGTGCTGACAAGAGGAGCCACTCCCTGACTCCAAGGCAAGTTCTCACCAAGCACTTCTCAACCTCACAACATCTTTACCGGTGACACCCCTCAGATGGCGAGGCATGCCTGCACTGCTCACCTGAAGCTTGGCTTCTGTCTGCACATGCTGGGCTTGTGACTCCAAGTTTTCCGGGTTAAGAAGGCTCACAGGACTCACATGGGGAGAGAGGACACATTTCTCCAACAAACCTTTGCTGGGCTCCTGCTGAGTCTCAGGCCTGGCTGCTGGGTGCCAGCAAGAGCATCCTGCCTTTAGTGAGAACAGATGAACTCCACTGCAGCTTCAGAACTGTCAGGGAGAGTCGGCCCAGGCTCCAGGGAGGGTCTATGCCAGGCTGGACATCCCTGGGCCGCTGACTGCTCCCTGAGCCCCAACATTTTATTATGAATATTTGTAAATGTAACAGAAAAGTAGAGTTGTATATTGAATACCCATACACTGTCAGGTCAGCACAGACCTGATAGTATTTTGTTATATTTGCTTTATCATCTATCCATCTCTCTATCCATTAATTCATCTTTTTTTTTCTTAGACAGAGTTTTGCTCTGTCACCGAGGCTGGAGTGCAGTGGCGTGATCTCGGCTCACTGCAAGCTCTGCCTCCCGGGTTCACGCCATTCTCCTGCCTCAGCCTCCTGAGTAGCTGGGACTATAGGCGCCCGCCACCACACCCAGCTATTTTTTGTATTTTTAGTAAAGACAGGGTTTCACTGTGTTAGCCAGGATGGTCTCAATCTCCTGACCTCATGATCCGCCCATCTCGGCCTCCCAAAGTGCTGGGATTACAGGCGTGAGCCACTGCGCCTGGCCAATTCATCTCATTTTTTGACTGATGCGGTTTCTTTTTTTGAGACAGGGTCTAGCTCCATCGCCCAGGCTGGAATGTAGTGGTGCACTCATGGCTCACTGCAGCCTTGAAAAGGGCTCAAGTGATTCCTCCTGCCTCAGCCTTCTCAGTCGCTGGGACTACAGGTGTGTACCACCATGCCCAGATCATTTTTTAATTAAAAAATTTTTTTTTTGTAGAGACAGGGTTTCATCACGTTGCCCAGGCTGGCCTCGAACTCCTGCAATCAAGCCTCCTACCTCTGCCTCCCAAAGTTTTGGCATTACAGGCGTAAGCCACCACACCCAGCCCTGATCTGTTCTTCAATCTGTTAAAGCCCTCACACTCCCGGAAGGAGGCCAGCCAATGCACGTGTTGGAATTCTACACACAGGGTGTCTTCTCCCTTCAAGCTTGGCCTGCAGCTCAGTAACAAATGGGCTGCAGACCCCAGGGGCTTGCCCATGGGAGCCCCAAGGCCTAGAGAGGGTGGCAGAGTTTTGTGGCTGTCACTCTCCACCTGCAGCCTCAGTTCAGGGTCTGCCAGGCACCAAGAGCTCACACTTTGCCCTCCTAAATGCCAGGCACTTCACAAGCATCATCTCATTGTTAAGAGTGGGGGCTTCTTGGCCGAGCTCGGTGGCTCACGCCTGTAATCCCAGCACTCTGGGAGGCCAAGGTGGGCGGATCACAAAGTCAGGAGATCCAGACCATCCTGGCTAACACAGGGAAATCCCATCTCCACTAAAAATACAAAAGATTAGCTGGGCATGGTAGCGGGCGCCTGTAGTCCCAGCTACATGGGAGGCTGAGGCAGGAGAATGGTGTGAACCCGGGAGGCGGAGCTTGCAGTGAGCCAAGATCGAGCCACTGCACTCCAGCCTGGGCGAAGAGTGAGACTCTTGTCTCCAAAAAAAAAAAAAAAAAAAAAAAAAGACTGGGGGCTTCAGTGCCAGACAAATGCAGGTTTGTGTCCAACTCAACCACGTGCTGGTGGGAGAGTCACCATCTCTGAGCAGACCTGTGACTCCTGTTCCAAATGGATGAGGAACCACTGAGATGATGTGTTAGGACTCCCAACCTGCCAGAACCTCACGGCCCCGACTCTTCCCAGCAAAGTCGACCACAGTGAGCATTGCCTCCACCAATCAGAGCACCCTGGATGCTGAGTGGCCTCTTCTCTGAGAGCCTGGTGCCTTTGATAGCCCTGGGAGACTCCCCTGATCCCAGCCACCAGGTTGTCACTATAGACCTAATTTAACCATCTGCCCTCGGTACCCAGGGCTCAACATTTGGAATGGGAGGTGGTTCTGGGAGCCAATTAGAGGCCAGGCTTTGGGAGGTGGCAGAGGTGAGAGCCTCACACCTGGGCTCTGTCCGATAAGTATAGGCCTGGGTCAGGGGACCTTGCCTAAAGGGCCTCTCTTGACTGGAGCGTGGGAGGTGGCTAAGTCTACACAGCTGGCCTGGCCTCAGGCCTGGAGCTTTAGCTCAAGGACGAGAAGACCCATAAAGCCAGGCCCAGCTCCCAACCTCACATCTGCCACGATGCTGCTGCTCAGCCTGACCCTAAGCCTGGTTCTCCTCGGTTCCTCCTGGGGTGAATGGGCCAGGACCAGCCCTGATTCAGACCTGGGAACAACTCAGCTCCCAGCACCAGCCCAGGGAAGGGGCCAGGCTGGCTGGAAGGGACAAAGGTGGACAGGTTGGGCAAAGGAAACAGGATATGCCAGGGCAGGGGAGCAGGAACAGGCCTGCAGGGCTGGGAGGGGGCAAGAGGTGGGGTGGGGGAGTCTCACGAATAGGACCAGAGCTTGAGCAAGGCCCTGGAGCCCAGGAGTGTTTAGGAAGCTGAGACAGGAAGAGATGCCCATGACTTTTAGAAAGAACCTTCTGGCTGCATGAAGGGTATGTACTGTTCAGGCCTGGAGCGGGCAGAGAGACCAGGGGTAGAGATGGGGAACAGCAGGGACTCGGCTGGAGAAAGATGTGAGAGAACAGCAGCACTGGGGGACTGGTTGGATGGGGATAACCAAGATAGCTGTGGGGCCCGAAGGTGCCTGCATGTACCCTGTTGGGAAAGGGGTAGTGTTGTACCCTCTTGACTGACCTATCTGGGGTGCACAGCCTCGGGCACCCAGAAGGAGGTGGGGAAAGGTGGGCTGAGGCATAGGAAGCAGGTCCTCATTAGCCCAATGGCCAGGCTGCGGTGTTCCTGCCATCAAACCAGCCCTGAGCTTCAGCCAGAGGATTGTCAACGGGGAGAATGCAGTGCCAGGCTCCTGGCCCTGGCAGGTGTCCCTGCAGGTATACCACCGGAGGGGTGGGCAGGGTCCTGGGTACGTCATGCCTAGGGGCAGCCTAAGCAGCCCAACCCCACTCTGACCTCTGAGCCCTGACCCCAGGACAGCAGCGGCTTCCACTTCTGCGGTGGTTCTCTCATCAGCCAGTCCTGGGTGGTCACTGCTGCCCACTGCAATGTCAGGTGAGCACCTGCACTCCACCTGCCCCGCCCCTTGCCTCTTCCTGCCTCCTCCCCTGGCTGTCCCCCTCTCGCTCTGGCCTCCCTGCAGCTGCCTAACCCCACCCCTCTGCAGCCCTGGACGCCACTTTGTTGTCCTGGGCGAGCATGACCTATCGTCGAACGCTGAGCCCTTGCAGGTTCTGTCCATCTCTCAGGTGAGTGCCTGGGTTGCAGACACGGAGGAAAAGTGGGCAGTGCAAGTGGGTGGGTGCTGGGAACGGGGAATTCAGGACACGCCCTGGCCTACCCTGCTCAGCACCCATCAGCCCCAGGTGCCGGGGCCCACCTCAGCCCAACATGGACTGTTTCTGACCCCACAGGCCATTACACACCCTAGCTGGAACCCTACCACCATGAACAATGACGTGACACTGCTGAAGCTCGCCTCACCAGCCCAGTACACAACACGCATCTCGCCAGTTTGCCTGGCATCCTCAAACGAGGCTCTGACTGAAGGCCTCACATGTGTCACCACTGGCTGGGGTCGCCTCAGTGGCGTAGGTAGGAACTCAGGCCAAAGCTCAGGGTGGGAGGACTGGGGTGGGGACCAGTGTTCTGGGCCCCACCTGACTACCCCTCCTGGCCCACAGGCAATGTGACACCAGCACATCTGCGGCAGGTGGCTTTGCCCCTGGTCACTGTGAATCAGTGCCGGCAGTACTGGGGCTCAGATATCACTGACTCCATGATCTGTGCAGGCGGTGCAGGTGCTTCCTCATGCCAAGTGAGCCCCAGCACCCAGTCCTCTGTGCTGTCCTGTGGCACACCTCCCCAACCCCCCACACTCACTTCTCCCTCCCTCTTCCCTCTCAGGGTGACTCCGGAGGCCCTCTTGTCTGCCAGAAGGGAAACACGTGGGTGCTTATTGGTATTGTCTCCTGGGGTACCAAAGACTGCAATGTGCGCGCACCTGCCGTGTATACTCTAGTTAGCAAGTTCAGCGCCTGGATCAACCAGGTCATTGCCTACAACTGAGCCCACCACAGGCCCCTCCCCAGCTCAACCCATTAAAGACCCAGGCCCTGTCCCATCATGCATTCGTGTCTGTCTTCCTGGCTCAGGAGAAAGCAGAGGCTGTTGAGGGTTCGACTCCCTACTTGGACTTCTGGCATGGACGGGGCTGAGTGGCTCCTTGAGTAGCAGTGGCTCTTCCTAGAGTAGTCATGCCCAGGCCGGGGACCCCACCCCTCCTCTAGGGCAACCCCTTGGTCCTACAGCAAGAAGCCAGAGCTGTTGGAATGAATGGCAGCCCTCCCTGGAGAGGCAGCCTGTTTACTGAATACAGAGGATACATTTACAAACTGAATACGCATAATAAATAACTGCACATTCTCCATCCACGGTCCATGGCATGAAGGCCCAAGTGGGTCTATCAAAGGCCCACATCTCCAAACCCCCTGTCCTGCCCTCAGGACCAGGCCCACCCTGGGCGAGAGAGAACATAATCCCCAGAGCTTCAGGTCCTCAGAGACAGTTAGGGAACTGGGAGGAAATCCTGAGGCCATGGGGCTTGGTTCTCCACTGCCTCCTGCCCAGGGGGCAGTGAGGACAGCAGGAGGGTGTGTCTAAGGCACAGTTGACTTGGCACAGAGTGGTCTCTTTAGTTTTGTTTCCCACTGTAGGTGGCACATGCAGGAAGAGGAGGGCCTGGCCCAGGCTGCCGACTGGCAGAAGCTGAGTGGGAGCCAAACCCTCCCCCAATGGCAGGGGCCCTGCAGTTGACCCAAGGCCAAAGCTGGGCCCTGGCCCCATTCTACCCACTGAAGGCAGCTGTGGAGGGAGGGGCTTGGGTTCCAGCCTGGTTTGTGGTGGGGGGGATACCACAACAGAAATGGGGACGGTTCTGGCTCAGGCCTCTGGGAAAGCAGCCACCCAACCCCACCCACCTCCCACAGGGGCTCCTTCCAGCTTTCGACTCAGCGGGACCCAGACTGGAAGGTTAATGCTGTGAAGGGAAGCAGCACAGGGTGGATGGGGCAAGGCCAGGTGTCAGAAGGCAGTGCCCCAGGTACCCAGGGTTCAGAGGCAGGTCACACAGTATGGCTAAGTTCCAGGGAGGGGTGCGCAGAAGCTCAGCAGAAGGGGAGAGGTGAGCAGCCTGGGACCCTCCCCCAGGGCGGCAACTCCTACCTTCCCATGTCTTCGTAGAGGACTACAGGTGTGCACGATGAGCGGGTGTGCACGATGGGTGTGCAGTGATCACTCCCAGGTTGCCAACACCCATGCAGACACCAGATGGCGTCTTTGTGCAGCTGCAGAGGAGGGAGCGACAGACCCTGAAGGGAAAGGGCAATGGGCTGCACCAAAGGATAGAACCTAGGCTGACACTGGACCCTAATGGAGAGGGGCCCCCTGCCCTCTGCCTTGGCCCCCAGGTGCCCTATCCCCCAGGTAGCAGCAGTGGGGCTCCCTTTAACCCCTCCCAGTTGGGAAGGAGGCACCTGGGGAATGGAATGAACATCCAATGGGGAGAGGGAGGTAGCAGTAGACTCTACAAAGAAGGCACCAAGGGCAGTGGGCTGGTGGGCAGAGACCCCTCAGAGTCTGAAGAGGTTGAAGCCTGGGCAAGCCGATGACCAGCATGGCCACAGAGTCCAGAAGGGCGAAAGTCCACGCCATGGCCCTAACACCAGAGGTCCTGGGACCAGGAAGGCTCCCTCGGGGCACCATGAAGGAAGACAGATCTTGGTTGGGCGGTGGAGGGTTGTTTGGATCTAGCTAGGGGCTACGGTTTCAGTCAAGGCACAAGCTTTGTGCCTACCAGGGTCTCCCACTGGAGCACAATCTGAAGGATCAGGATGCATGGGAACGTGTGGAGCCAGGGAGAGGGGCTCTGTGGAGGAAAGGGGGTCCCAGAAGTAACTGTCCCAAAGGGTCCTGAGGCCACAGGACACTTCACCCAGCACTGCAGTCCCCTCTGATTTGGGAAGAGTCAAAGGGCAAAGGAGACAGTGAAGGCCAGGTCCTATCCCTTCCCAGCTCCACCAGAGCAGCTGCCCACCAAGAGGGGTATCAGTGCCAAGCCAGGCTCTCAGTTCAGGGGGAGTCACAGCCCCCTGGGCTACCTCCACTCTGTCACACCTGGCCCAGGTCCATAGTGAGGACAGGGGCTGCTGAGGGCACAGAGAAAGGGCCGGAGCCAGACATTCTTCACCTACTGCGGGCTACATGAGCCTATCTCCAGAGAGGGCATCAGGCACAGATGGCACCGCAGTGTGTGGCCAGGCTGGGCCATACTGCATGTGTGCAGAGCCAGGCGGCTCAGCCATTGTACTGCTGTTGGTAGCGCAGGTTGAGCTCCCGCAGCTCCCGCTCCCGCACACGGCGTGACTTGTTGGAGCGTGTGGAGCGGCTGGAACGCGTGGACTGGGCAGATTTGGTGCTCTGGCAGCGCGAGGAGGCACGTTTGAGGAGGTTCTGGGATATGGAGCGGTGCAGGTTCTTCATGGATGAAGAGGCAGCCATGCTCACCACCCACGGGTGCCTCAGGGCCTGCAGTGCAGTCATACGGGCTCCAGGGTCCACTGTCAGCAGGCGGTCAATGAAGTCCTTGGCCAGGTTGGACACACTAGGCCAGGGCTAGAGACCAAGGACAAGCATTAGAGTGAGAGTATCCAACACCGCCCACCCCATCTGGATGAGGCCACTACCCAGCATCCCTCCACTTTCCCGAGAGAGGTGCTGCCCCTCCTCTCATGTAGTGCTTGGGGCCTCCCTGCCCAACACTGGCCCAGGCTGAACAGGGGCTGCTCTCCAGGTGATGGAGTCTGGCAAGGAAGGAAAGGACCCGTCCACTCTCCCAGGGAGCAAACTTCTATGGTGCACTGGACCCAACGCCTGGCTCAGGGAGATGGCCTCTGCCAAGACCCCCCAACCTGCCCCAGGAGTATCATAACTCAGGGGAATGTAAGAGAATGACTCAAACTTTTCCACCATATCCTAAGTCAGATTGAAGCTCCAATCTCTGGACGACCAGGATCAGGCCACTTAGAGGGGAACTTCCCAGTCCTTACAGAGAAGGTCCAACCTCTCTCCAACTGCCAAAGTAGTGGTAGGAGACCACTACTCCCTGCCTCCGCCTCCCAGCGTGGGGAGGAAAGGAAACAACTCAAGGCAACTAGATTTCCCTGTTGGCTGAGGGCAGGTACTCCCGGGACCAGGCAGGAACCAGGACCCTTCTCAGTGGCACCCTCCAGCCCTCATTACTTCTCTAAGCCACAAAGGGCTCCTGGCAGTGCTGTGCGCCAGCCTCATTTTTTTTTTTTTTTTTTTTTTTTGACAGAGTCTCGCTCTGTCGCCCAGGCTGGAGTGCAGTGGCCGGATCTCAGCTCACTGCAAGCTCCGCCTCCTGGGTTTACGCCATTCTCCTGCCTCAGCCTCCCGAGTAGCTGGGACTAACAGGCGCCCACCACCTCGCCCGGCTAGTTTTTTGTATTTTTTTAGTAGAGATGGGGTTTCACTGTGTTAGCCAGGATGGTCTTGATCTCCTGACCTTGTGATCCGCCCGTCTCGGCCTCCCAAAGTGCTGGGATTACAGGCTTGAGGCACCGCGCCCGGCCCAGCCTCATTTTAGTATATTCTGTCCCCTGGGAGGAACTCCACAAAGCCCACTCTACCACATGCACCCAGGACTGCCTCATCTCAGCCGCGAACCCAGCAGCTGTCTGTCTCAGGGCCTCAGGCTGCATGCTGTCTTCACCTGGGTGGATCCTCAGGTTCTCAGGGTAAAAGACACTTGCCCAGACTCCCTCTTAGCCCCCAGTGCTTCCAACAATTATTCCAGCTGTAACTTGAGACTGCAATTTCATGTTGGTTTATTATTCCCATGAGATCATGCTGAGCTGGATGAGCGCCAGTGCCTGGTGCTGCACATACAGGAAGCACTCAGCAGGCACGGGCTCAGCGAGTAAACAACCCACGGTGCTGCCGGATGGGTGCCCTTTCCCGAAGCTGCTTCCAGGTCTGGGAGCTTAGCCAGGTGAGTCCTTGCGTCCCTGCATCTCCTAGGAGCACTTTTGGCACACGCTAAGGATGCCATCACTTTCCTTCCTGCCAGCTGAGGTCTGCCTGTTCCACCCATGGTACCCTTCACCTTGAGGAACCCCTGAACATGCCAGGGATCTAAGAGCCCACCTTCAGGGCAGGTGCACAGCCATGTAGCAGACACACACACACACTGACTACTGCTACCCCCAGTCTGGCTCCCTTGACTTCTAACTCTTCCCCTACCCCCTTCCCCACTGCCACAGAGGGGTGAGGCAGGGAGAACATGCTTCCACCTTCCTGAGGAAGGTCTGGGGCTACCTGCAGCTTCTGTCCTCACCCACTCTTTGGAAGGTTATTCCAAGTTTTACTGAACTGAAGTGGGAGCAACAAGGGAACCACATTCCCAAACACACCTAATAGGGTCATCCTCATCAGTGGGCCAGCAGCAGCCAGTGACTCTTGGGGAGACGCTGGGCCTGAGGAGGAGGAAAGTCAGGGTCCAGGAGCATGCAGTCAACGGAGGCCCATAGATGCCTTACTATCCAAGGACTGTGGGTGGGCGCAGAGAGCAACAGCCCTCCCATATAGGCAGGTAAGTCTCCTGGGGGCTTGTGTACTTCAACATTCATATTGAAGGCCAGGCGCGGTGGCTCACACCTGTAATCCCAGCACTTTGGGAGGCTGAGGCAGGTGGATCACAAGGTCAGGAGATCAAGACCATCCTGGCCAACATGGTGAAACCCCATCTCTACTAAAAATACAAAAATTAGCCGGGCATGGTATGTGCCTGTAGTCCCAGCTACTCAGGAAGCTAAGGCAGAAGAATTGCTTGAACCCAAGAGGCGGAGGTTGCAGTGAGCCAAGATCGCACCACTGCACTCCAGCAACAGAGTGAGATTCCATCTCAAAAAAAAAAAAAAAAAAACAAAAAGATTCATATTGAGGTATTGAGACCGATATGCAGGGCAACTGGACTAGACAGCTGCCACAATAGCTTTTGGATAACAGCTCAATAAAGCCCCAAAAGCCAGGAGCAGTGGCTTCTGCCTGT